GATTTGAAAGTGGGTATGTATCGCATTTTGAGAGTAAATACGCTTCCCAGCAATTACAAAAATTGCATTGATAACAATGAAATTATCTTTCAGGTGATTATATCTTGCCGGCAAAATCGTCTCTTATAATAAACATTTATGGGATTCATCATAATCCAACGGTTTTCGTAAATCCCGAAGTGTTCGATCCGGATCGATTTCTACCAGAAAACTGCGAGAAACGTCATCCCTTTGCCTTTCTACCGTTCTCTGCCGGTCCACGCAATTGCATAGGTAAGTAATTGTGATATGAGACAAAAGCCTCTTGTGCTTCTGACGTATTTACCATTCTCCAGGTCAAAGATTCGCCATGATGGAGATGAAGACAGTTTTAGCGAATGTTCTTCGACATTTTCGAGTGAAGTCTCTAGACCACAGAGATAAGATTTTCGAATCTGCTGACGTCATTCTTCGTCCGAAATTCGGTATAAGAATGATTGTCGAAAAACGATAAAAGAAAAAAATAGTTTCTTTCAGAAAGTATAAAATCTATAAATAACGAAACAATTGTTCATAGTACAATGTTTCATGTATTCCAGATTCTTATCTATATGATAATCCGCGCTTCAAAAGTGTAGACATGATCAACCTGTCCAGAAAAGGTCAATGTTAGATAAAAGAAATAGACGGCGACCTGCAAACGTTGACACATACGTCTGATTTCTTTCAGCTCTTTTCTTTTCTATATTTTTAAAACGTTTTTATACTACGTTTGTCAGAAACAATTGAACTTTTTCGCAATTTATATTACTGTGATTTATTACGTGTGAAAGGTGAATGCCGTCTTCCATCTTTGTCATCTGACATAGACCCTTTCCGTTTAGATTGATTAATGTCGCTGTGTCGAAGATAATATACTAAATTTCAGTAATAAATTTTTTAAAATTATATTTTAAAGCGTTTAGTGTATTTATTTATCTTACAACAGAGCAGTCGAAAATGCTTTTCGCGATAATTTAATATGATAATACAGTAGAACCTCCATTATCCGGACCTCCATTATCCGGATTTTCGATTATCCGGATTGTTCAAAATAAATATTTTACGAATTTGCTGATTTGCACTCGGCGAAATACGACACTGTTTATGTACGTGATGGAATGCATAACTTTTTTTGTTTCAACAAGGTCTCACCCAGCACAGTGGTCGTAAACTCTTAAATATATTTTACGTAGTAATAAAAATATGACTTGACATACGTATTTATAAATAATTTATATTCAAATTACATCATTTCTATGACCAAGGGCGGCGTAAGGCAAGGACGACGTGGGCAACCGCCTATGCCTCGCGGTCCGAAGGGCCTCGCGCCTCGAAGGTTTATGCATTACTTAAAAGCCGAGAACGCGACGAAAAAATTTTACTCGTC